GAGAGAGAGAGACAGAGAGAGAGAGAGAGAGAGAGAGAGAGAGAGAGAGAGAGAGAGAGAGAGAGAGAGAGAGAGAGAGAGAGAGAGAGAGAGAGAGAGAGACAGACAGACAGAGAGAGAGAGAGAGAGAGAGAGAGAGAGAGAGCAAAGTTCACGGTGAGGGAGTGTGTGTGTGATTTAAGGTGAAGGAAGGGAGGATGCGAGGGAAAGATAAGGGAAGATGAAGGTGTTAGTAAAATGTGTTTGATGGTTAAGTGGTACATACATGTTACATATAGTATAGTGTTTGTGGTTTATATTTCAAAAATAACGAATTAAAGTTAGAGAAGAATGAAGAATGAAGAAGAAGAAGAAGGAGACGAAGACGTAGAATATACACGAAAGAGATAAGAAGCAAGAAATGTGAAGACGCGGAATGAGATAAACAGGGTGATAACAGCAGAGGGATCGGTGGAGGGGGCAAGAGGGGGGGGGATACTTGAGTCAGTATAGTCCACATCTCGGAATACTATTTACGCATTGAATACTATTCAACACTTAAATTGTGTTTACTTCCTTTTATAAATCAAGCAAGCAATTGATAAACACTAAACTTGAAGCAACCTTGAAAATATAAAGCAGATGTACACACTATGTACAATAAAGTCCATTTATATATAAATGACACTATGGGTATGCATGATTCATAAGTAATATCACCACTCACAGTTATTTTAAGCCAGTAAACAGATAACACTAATAAATATAAATATGTACAATTTCTAATCTATTTATCAAGTCATTTGTCAGAGAATAAAAACAAAAGAAAAGTTTAAAAAAGCAAGAAAAGCAGAGCCCAGTATTCCCAACGAAAGCTCACGGCAAATGAAAATGTTTATTTGCTGAGTGAGTTAGTATTCATGTCTCTAACTAAATATTTAAGTATACATGCATTTTATTTCCAGGTAATAAGTTTAAAATCAATAACAGACGATGCGCTGGACAAAGTGGACGCACAAGAATATAAGATTGTGAATAATGGTCTGGTTCTTAGTAAAGTAATCGATACAAAAAAAAACAAAAAAACAAGAAAAAACGCAAACGAAACGTGTCAAGTTACGAGAGAGAGAGAGAGAGAGAGAGAGAGAGAGAGAGAGAGAGAGAGAGAGAGAGAGAGAGAGAGAGAGAGAGAGAGAGAGAGAGAGAGAGTGAGAGAGAATGACAGAGAGAAAGACAGAGAGAAAGACAGACAGACAGACAGACAGACAGACACAAAGACAAAGGAACGAAAATCGAAGCTAAGCAAGACGAATCCTCCAAGCAAAAAAAAAGCCTTCTATTACCCGCGGCTTCCCTCCGTGCGGCCCAACGCGAGAGGCATCCATCAAACGCCATCAACTGCGATGAAACACGAAATAAAAAAAAATAATAAAATAAAAAAACGAGCAACTCATAAGAATGATTAACGTTTTGAGGAGCGGAATCTTCGTCGTTTTTTTTCATTGTTTTGTCGTTGTTATGATGACAGGGAACGAGAGGATGATGATGTACGACGAGTTAATGACGTGAGATTGCTCTGTTTCGCTGATTTTTTTTTCAAACGTTGGAGACATGACGTTATGTTTTGGGCTGCTCTTGTTACTTTTATTATGACCTTTAGTATCATTATCAATATCATTATTATTATCATTATTATTAATGTTATTTTGATAAACCTTATCATTATCATTATCATTATCATTATTATTATTATTATTATTATTATTATTATTATTATTATTATTATTATTATTATTATTATTATCATTATCATTATTATTATTAACATTATTATTATTATTATTATTATCATTACTATTATTATTATCATTATTATAATTATTATTATCATTATTATTACTATTACCATGGTCATCATTATCATTATTTTACTATTATCATAATCATTATCATTAATAACATTATCATTATTATTATTATTATTATTAATAACATTATCATTATCATTATTATTAATAACATTATCATTATCATTATTATTAATAACATTATCATTATCATTACCCTTATCATCACTATTATCATTATCATTACCATCATCATTATTATCATAATTATTATCATTATTATTATTATTATCATTGAATAATCGACATTAGCATTACAATGGCCATCTATTTCTTCATCTTGCTTGTCTTTGTTTGTTTACTTATCTATTTATTTATTCATATATATTATCATTATTTACTCACCTATCCACGCTTATTTTGGGCACAACTTGTACAAAAAAAAAGACTCCTCACGGTGCCTGTGCATCCCTCGCGCCCGCCCTCATGACCATGGATTCGCAGCCACTCACGCCCGCACGCCCACGCTGCCGCCGCTCCCCCTTCCCTCATCGGTCAACTTGCCAGCGGGAACTTGGAATTAGCATGTGCATGAGCCTTCGATTTGCCTTTGTTATTCTTTGTTTCGAGAGGCGATGGATGTTTTCCGTCTGTCTGTGTCTCTTTCGTACTGC